ATTTTTGTGACGTACCATGCATCTATTTTTTTCCTTATGATTCCAGTGCTTTTTGGTGTTACAGTTAAGAAATAATGTCAAATTTAAGGTCATGAAGATTTTCCCAGTTTCTTCCTAAAAAATTATAGTTTTAATTTACATTCAGATCTTTTATCCATTTGGAGTTAATTATTGTATAATGGTATAAAGTGAGATTCAGCTTAATTCACTGTTTGATTTGAAAAGACTCCTTTCTTCCACTTCCATTTTTTTCATCTACTCTGCCATGGTGGGGATTGAACCCAGGGCCTTATGTGTTAGGTGAGCGCTAACTACTGGGCTATAGCCCTAATTATGTGTCTTTATAGATATACTTTCCTCTACATGTTTTTTCTTCTCTAAACATTTGTTATAGGAACTGCATCATTTTTTTAATGTGGGATTTACCACGTTGTGGATTCAACTATTGTATAACCTCATAGTATTAATTGATCTATTCTTTGTTCTCATGTTTCCTGTGAACTGATAAATCAGTAAGCTTGGTGAGATCCAGCCTCATATGCATATTGCATTTCATCAGAAGGCATTTCTTTTTTGTTTTTCTTAAGGGAGGTTGTACAAATGTAGAATGGTATGATGATCCCTTGCATACTTGTTACCCAACTTCAGCACTTACCAAGATGTGTTGGTTTTGCTTAATTTATTACCCATCCACTTCACCCCTTTTGTGTTATTTTCAAGCAAAATAAATTATTTTTTGTGTAAATTCCTTTCTCTTTCTGTTTTTAAATTTATTATTATTATTATTTTTTGGTATTGGGGATTGAACCTAGGGGCACTATACAACTGAGTTTTACCCCCAGTTTTTTTTATTTTTATTTATTTATTTATTGTACTAGGGAGTGAATCCAGGAGGGATTAACCACTAAGCCACACCCTCAGCCCTTTTCTGTATTTTCTTTATAGAGACAGGGTCTTAACTTTGAGTTACTTAGGGCCTCATTAAGTTGCAGAGGCTAGCTTTGATCTTCCCACCTCAGCCTCCCAAGCTGCTGGGATTACAGATGTGTGCCACCATGCCCAGCTTTTTAATTTTAATATTTATTTTTTTATTTGTAGTTGGACACAATACATCTATTTTATTTTTATGTGGTGCTGAGGATCGAACCCAGGGCCTCACACATGCTAGGCAAGCGCTCTACCGCTGAGCCACAACCCCCACCCCCAACCCCGGCTTTTTAATTTAATTTTGAGACAGGGTCTTGCTAAGTTGTAAATTTGTGATTGCTCCTACTTCAGCCTTCCAGGTCACTGGGATTATAGATTTGTGCCACTATACCTGGGTTTTCTTGTTTTTCATGCTAGGTATCAAATTTAGGGTCTCATACATGCTAGACAAGTGTTTTACCACTGAGCTACATCCCAGCCCCTAAATTTCTTTATATTTATTTGGTAGGCATTTTGAATCACTTAAATGTTATATTCAATAACTACTGAAAGAACAGAGTCCTGGTTAGTGGTGTTTTGTGATACCTGATCTATCCAGTCATTTTTAGGACTAGAATGTGATCTTGACCTTTTTTTTTTTTTTTTTTTTAAGTTGTAGATGAACACAATGTCTTTGTTTATTTTTAAGTATGGTACCTCATACTTGCTAGGCAAGTGCTCTACCACTGAGCCACAACCCTAGCTCTTGACCTATTTTGAGATTTAATATTTGTTGCAGGTTGAGCATCCCTATCAGAAAATGTGAAATCCAACATTCTGTAAGGTCTGAAACTTTTTAGGTTCTGCCATGGTGTTATGAGTGGATAATTCCATACCTGACTTCATGTGATGGATTGCAGTCAAAATGCAGGTGCACTGAAAATATTGTATAAAATTATCTTCAGCCCATGTGGGTAAGTTGTATGGAGCTGGGTGTGATGGACCACAGTTATAATTCCCACTACTTGGGAGTTGGAGTGAGGCAGGAGGATCGGTAGTTCCAATTCAGCCTTGCCAACTTGGTGAGACCCTGTCTCAGAATAAAATTTTAGAAAGGGCTGGGGAGGTATAACTCAGTGGTAGAGTGCTTACCTAGCATGAGTAAAACCGTGGACTCAATCCCAGTTTAAAAAAAAAGAAAAGATATATGAAACTGTAAATGAATATCTAAACTTGGGGCCCTTTCTCATGACATTTCCTTAAATATGCAAATATTCCAGTATCTGAAAAAATCTGGAATTGGAAACACTACTGGTCACAGTATTTCAGATAATGGATATTCAACTGGTATGTAAAATAGTAGTTTTCTTGGCCAGAAATAATACTGTTGAAGAAAATCAAAAGTAAATACATCTGAGTGGACCCCAAAACAGAGGGTGGGTGGGGGGAACAGTTTCAGGGAATGTTGCTTTGATATGGTAACATACCTCCTGGGTGTCTGTCAGACTCTGTGGATCAGTGAAGGTCAGTGGCAATCAGTGGTTTCTGTACCCTGTGCCACTTTATGCCTCTGTAAGTCTTTTATTGTTTTCCTCAGTGAACTATTTGTTCTACTAAGTAAACTGGTTTGTCAAACAATTGCTCTTTATTAGTCAAAGATGTAACTGTGTAATCAATTAAAAAGATAATGTGAGTTCTATAAATAAATATTATGTTTAGTCTCTTTGTAGGGGAGGCTACATGAGTTTAAGGACATTTTGACACTTCATGGCATTTGTTCAAGGTTTTGTAACTAGCTCTCAGCAACTACTAGGATAAGATAATCCTTCTAATAAGCAAAATTTAGCCATTTTAAGCTTTTCGGGTATGTACTACAAGTAAATAGGAGAGAAAACACTCAGTAAATTCAAATGATATTTGAAAAAGTATAGAACTTTAGTTAGGCTTAATTTCAGGGAGACAGCATAACCTAGAAATGGAAAGCCTGGGAATATAATTTAAGTATTATCTCTACTGCTCAAGAACTGAATGGATTTGGTTGAGATATTTAACTGCTTTATAGTTTACTATAAAACAGAGGTGGTAAATTAGACAAACACATGTGGAATCAAATTTAGATTTAATCAAATTTGATTAGATTTTGATAAAGTTCACATTCTTTCCTCTTTGTGCTCTTCCATGATCCATTGCCTGTTTTGTATCTCTGGGCTTCCCATAGTATCTAGTTCATAGGAAGTTCTACAAATGATAAATTATTAGTTATACTCCTTAGGTTTTAAGAATTTCTACGTTTGTACTTGGAAGAGGCAAAGAGTTATCACAATGTTAGAAGTGAAAGGAATTGGGCTGGGGTTGTGGCTCAGCCGCAGAGTGCTCGCCCAGCATGTATAAGGCCCTGGGTTCGATCCTTAGCACCACATAAAAATTAAATAAGTAAAATAAAGGTTTGTGTCTAATTATAACTAAAAAAATAAAAGGGCTGGGGATGTGGCTCAAGTGGTAGCGTGCTCGCCTGGCATACGTGCGGTCCGGGTTCGATCCTCAGCACCACATACAAACAAAAATGTTGTGTCCGCCGAAAACTAAAAAAAAATAAATATTAAAAAAATTCTCTCTCTCTCTCTCTCTCTCTTAAAAAAATAAATAAAATAAAATAAAAGGAATCTTAGATCATTTGGTCTTGACTATTATTTTCTAGGTGAAGAAACTGAGCAAGGTAGTAAGAGTTGGAGACCAAGCCAGAACTGGTGTCAGAGTTAAGATCTGTGTTACTATACTGGGAATGGCACCAGTCATATTGCTAGACTTTTTGGACCTAAATTGTTCTGGGCCCTGAATGTTTTAAATTTTGAGTGTTGTGATTATTTTATTAAAATGGGATTTCAGGGGCTGGGGGTGTGGCTCAAGCGGTAGCGCGCTCGCCTGGCATGCGTGTGGCCCGGGTTCGATCCTCAGCACCACATACAAACAAAGATGTTGTGTCTGCCGAAAACTAAAAATAAACATTAAAAAATTCAAAAAAAAAAAAAAAAATTTAAAATGGGATTTCAGTTCTATTTGATCCAGAGTGACTAGAGTTTATAAATTACGTAACATTTCATTTTACTGATTTTTAAAGTAATTTTTAAAAATTATTTCTAAGAATCCTAATCTTTTCCATTAAAATAAGCTTTAGGTTGTAACAGTTATATCTGTGTCTTTGAGTTCCACATTTGTTGATTCAAATAATGGTGTATCGAAAATATTTTGGGAAAAAAACTGCCATCTGTATTTAATATGTAAAAAAGTTTTTTCTTGTCTTAAACAATACAGTATAACTACTATTTAATGACATTTACATTGTATTTGGTATTTTAAGTAATCTAAAGATGTGTAGGTTCTATGCAAATACTACACCTTTTCACCTAAGGGACTTTAGCATTCTCAGATTTTGCTATCTCGGGTCTTAGAACCAATCTCCCAGGGTACCAAGGGACAAAAATGTTGTTTTATAATTAAATTTACTTGAAAATAGAGTTAACCTTACTGGAAACCTTGGCAACCAATTTTCCAAGGGAGGAAGTTGGAGGAGATATACTGGTTGCACAGATCACAACATGTTATTTAGAAGTAAAAGTGCTCTGGATGATTTAACTTAATAATATCATCCATTTTCAGAGGTGGGGGAAATTATGGTTACATAGTGTAACATATGTTACATATATTGGTTAAATCAGGAATGGTACCTGTATTTGCTTCTGAGTAGCTCTTTATAGCAGTGATTGGTTACTTTTGGAGTAAAGATTAGTATTAACTCAGGTTTAATGTTAGTTTTTTCTTCCAATAGGCTATCTTTATTTCGTTGATTAGATTTGATAAAGTTCACATTCTTTCCTCTTTGTGCTCTTTACCTACTGCCTGTTTTGTATCTCTGGGCAAGTAGAGCATAGAGAGCCATCCTTAGGCAGGCTTTTAGACTAAATAGTAGGTGAACTGTCTCCCCAATTAGCTTGTTCTTTGAGTAGAATTTATAAGGTATTTTAAATTTGAGGATATACTTCAGTTTTTTCAGTCTCTTGAGTTTAATAAAAATATATATTTAATCTTTTCAGAGGTCGAAACAATAGCAAAGGACTGCCTCAGTCTACGGTGAGTAACTTTAATGTTTGTAAAAAATTGTTGGCTAAAATATGACTTCTAAATATACATTAAAGGCCAAGGCAAAAAGCTTTTTTTCTTTATTGTTGGAAACCTTCCTAGATTAATATAGTATAGTACAAAATTATTGGTTATATGTGTTGTGTTTTGCTGATAACTGTGTATAAAGTGTAAAAATTGCATATGAATGATAATTTTGTCATAATAAGAATGTTGTTATTATTTTTTTTAAAGAATTTAACTTTTATTTATTTTTATGTGGTGCTGAGGATTGAACCTAGTGCCTCGCATGTGCTAGGCAAGCGCTCTGCCACTGAGCTACAGCCCCAGCCCTCATTTGTTCTTTTGTAAGTGACTAAAGGCAAATTGAAGCAATTAATCTCTAAAAGATAAGTAGAACACCAAGGGTGAAGTTTGGAAAGTTTTTTGGTGTGTTAGTCTACTTTTTGTCACTGTCACCAAAATACCCAACAAGAACAACTTTGAGAATGAAAAGTCTATTTTGGCTCATAATTTCAGAGGTTTTGTCCTTGGTTGGATAACCAAATTGATGTAGGCCTGGGGTGAAACACAGCATCATAGTAGAAGTATGAAGGAGGAAAGTTATTCAATTTCTGGCAGCTGAGAAGCAGAGAGAAGACGGGAAAGGGACTCAGGGAAGAACCACTCTTCCAGGGCATGCCTCCCAATGACCCACATCTTATTTATCTTTTTTTTTTAATTTTTAAATATTTATTTTTAGTTGTAGTTAGACATAATACCTTTATTTTATTTATTTATTCGTAGCACTGAGGATCGAACCCAGGGCCTCACATGTACTAGGTGAGCGCTCTACTGCTGAGCCACAAACCCCAGCCTTATATATTTATCTTTATGTGGCACTGAGGATCGAACACAGTACCTCACCCATGCTAGATGAGTTTTCTACCACTGAACCACAACCCCACCCCCAGCATTCAAGCTTTTTATTTTGAATTAATGAGCTATATATTTTTTAAACTCCTTTCATTTTTCTCCTTTGGAAAGGGCCTTCTGATCTTACCTTTAGGAAGCCAGTGGAATTTACATGGAACTGAAAAGCATAAGTTCTGTTTGATAAATAAGTTATCACTAATTTTTGAGTCACCCTGCCTTTATTAGACAGATTGACTTCATAAGGATCAGGAGAGCACAACTTACGTTATTATGTATTATGGGGTGGTGTGGTTGACCAGATGTTTAAACACTTGCATCGATTGATTCAGGTATGCAGAGAGAAAGTAGCCGGGGTTTTCCTCATTCCATTAATTTGTTATTTATTAAGAGTTATTTTACCCTTTTTAGAATATAGATAGGAGTGGTTTTTGTTTCGTTTTTGTTGTTGTTGTTTTTTGGTTGGTTTTTGATTTTTGTGGGCCTGTACATGCTAGGCAAGTGCTCTACTACTGAGCTATACAAATGCAGATAATTCTCTAACTGCCAGTGCAGTTGGACAGTAAAACAGTTCCATCACCCATCAAAATCCTTCATGCCACTTTGTTGAGAACCTTCATTTTCCAATCATTGATTTGCCTTCTGTCCTCATGACTTTATTTTTCCTCTTTTAGAGAGGTTTTTTTGTATCATGTATAAATCATGTTGTTAATTGCTATGTCTAACTTTACTGTTAAAAACCCTAACTTCTTCTTTAAGGAAGCAGAAGATTGTAGTAAACCAAATATTAATACATGTGAGGAGCTGTGAGGAGTTACCAGCAATCTAAAGAATTTGTAACAAAATGTTCACTTTAATGTATATGGAAGTGTAAATACTAATTTATAATATTGTTTTTTAATATTTCAGATTTCTTTTGATGGAATCTATGCAAATATGAGGATGGTTCATATACTTACATCAGTTGTTGTAAGTTATCAGATTGTTGGGAATAGATTGCTTTGGGTGTAGAATAAAGTAATTTCATGAAGTTAAAATGTAGATAAATGATTGTCAAAGTACATTTGTTGGGTCATATTTGATCAAGATGATTTAGGAAAAAAATACATTAGAACTCTTTATGTAATCTATTGTAACTGTAAACACGTTCTTGTTAGCACTGTATAAAATAATATTTGTAGTTAATTATCTGTTGTGTATTATTTTATCTGATATAGGTGGGATCAGATGTATTTAACTTGAATATTTATAAATTTATACTGTAAACTCTGAGTCTTCTGAAGAATTTTGAGATTCCAATGTATTGTTAATGTTCTGAAATTTTTATTGTTTGCCAGTGAATAGCTAGTATTGAATAAAGCCTAATGAATTATGAAACATAAAATGAAGACACATATCCCTGATGATGGTAGTACTGTTTCTTTAAAAAATTAATTGTCTGTTTTTAGGGATCCAAATGTGAGGTACAAGTGAAAAATGGAGGTATTTATGAAGGAGTTTTTAAAACATACAGTCCTAAGGTAATTATTTATTTCTTTTTTTTATTAATGTAAATCAACTATTATTTGTTTGTATTACTGCCTGAGCAGTGTCTATTGAATTCTGATTAGCAAATTTGTAGTTACGAAGTGAGCGTATTTATCATGATTAGCTTCATATGGTAGTTCTTAAAAAGAAAAACATTTTCATGCTCAGTGTATTTTGATTTTGCTGTAAAGTTTCAAATACCAATTATTTTAATGACCAGAGTGCTCAAAAGAGCAACTTATAGATTTAAGGGTATTTTTTTCTACAGTTCAAAGGATTGAACTAATGGCTTTGTGCATGCTAGGCAAGTGCTCTACCACTGAGCTATGTACCCAGCCCTTTTTATTTTGAGGCAAAGTTTCATTAAATTGTCTAGGCTGACCTCCAACTTGCCATCCTCATCCCTCAGCCTAAGTTGCTGTGATTACAGGTGTGCGCTACCACATCTGACTTGATTTGATGGAAAATACAATAGACCACATATTTTAAAAAGGGCATGATTCTTTTCTTTTTTAAAAAAATCTATTTTTATCTATCTATCTATCTATTTATTTTTATGTGGGCCTGTACATGCTAGGCAAGTGCTCTACCACTGAGCTATACCCTCAGCCCTCCAAAATGCATATAATTCTGTAACTGCCAGTGCAGTCGGACAGTAAAACAGTTCCATCACCCAGGATCGAACCCAGGTCCTCACACACATGAGGCAAGCACTCTACCACTGAGCTACAACCCCAGCCAATGATTATTTTCTTAAAGTAATTATTTTTGCCAAAGACATAAAAGAAATAGCACTTTCGTGAACTTAAGGGACTTCTATCAAATTTTTTCCATAAGTGTTTTAAATATTTACTCATGTTTTTCATTTTAGTGCGATTTGGTACTTGATGCTGCACATGAGAAAAGTACAGAATCCAGTTCGGGGCCAAAACGTGAAGAAATAATGGAGAGTATTTTGTTCAAGTGTTCAGACTTTGTTGTGGTACAGTTTAAAGATATGGACTCCAGTTATGCAAGAAGAGGTGGGCTTTGGTTTTCTAAATATGCTTCCCGGTTTATTAGATTTATTCCAACAATGATCTCTATAGTGATCATATAGACATTTTTTTCAAAACAAAATATATGCTATCTAGTATATGACTAAGATGGGTTGGGTTTTTTTTTTTTTTTGTCTTTTAAGAACAATGGAACTTTGAATCCATTTTTGTTGGAAAAATGCTCAAAATTTTGGAGAACAATTATGTGGGTATTTCAGTAGCAAATATTGAGTTCATGTTCTGTAAAAAATTAATTTGGAAAGTATTTTCTGCAGTTTCATAGTCAAAAATGCTACTGATATTCAGTTCAGTTGAAAATTCTTGTTCCATTTGGCCAATGATGCTTTAATTTATAAGTAGACCTATAAATCTGTAAGGAAATCAAAACAGGGATATAGAAGAAAGGCAGAGATCTGTGGATAGAAAATAATCATTTAATGAAGATGAAAAAAGGTATAGAACATTCCTGTTTTAAGAATTTAAGATATTATGTACTTATTAAAATTTAGTTTATTTCAGCGTTTATTGAGGAGGAACATGAAGGAGTCGCTGCCCTTCATTTGGAGAGCATACTCTGCAGTGCTGAGTGTTCATTAACATGGTGAATGGCACTTGAGCAATTTTGGACTTGGTTCTGAAATTCTTTAATTAAAATAGTCAAATGTAAAATTCTTCAGCAGATTGTAATTCATTACAATTTGGTTTTCATGATTCAGTCTATACCAAACACTGTTTTCGTTGTTGTTGTTGTTGAGCTGATTTTTCTACACTGAAACTATAAAGCACAGGAAGTTAAAACCTTTCTTTTAACAAGGTTCTCACCTATTAGCTTGCTTTTTCAGAGGCTAGCAACAGTAGGCACTCTGTAACTGCTTTGAAATGCTGATGGAAAGTGCAGTGTTCCATTTTTAATCTTCTCAAATGTTTGCATCCCTTAGTGGGGGCTGGGGAGGGTTGTGGGGGGCTGGTACTGGGAATTGAACTTGGAGGCACTTAACCACTGAGCCACATCCCCAGCCCTATTTTGTATTTATTTAGAGACAGGGTCTCACTGAGTTGCTTAGTGCCTCCCTGAATTGCTGAGGCTGGCTTTGAACTTTTGATCCTCCTGCCTCAGCCTTCCAAGCTGCTGGTGTTACAGGTGTGTGCCACTGTGCCAACTCCTGGTTCTTTTTCAGTTTAATTTGAGACAGGATGATCAGGCTTGCGCTACTGTGTGTGACTGTAGAGGGACACTTTTGAAAGTGTTCAGTATGCTCTTAAAAAGGTAGATATATTTTGCTATGTGCTAAAATGATTATTTTCTTTATAAAATGATTGTTCAACTGAATATCAGTATTATAGTTTCAGGTATTTTATTTAAAAACTGTGGTGGTTTAGTGAATTGTACAGTTGTATCCATCTAGTACATAGCATCCTGAAATAGTGTTGTTATGTCTTTAAGTTTTCACATCTTTTAATCCAGGTTCTCAGGACTACTCTGGCAGAAGTTGCTCACTATAAAATAAAATTTCTAATCTGGATATTATCAGAATGTTGACATCCCTTTTAGAGTTATTAATGGGATAGTTCATTAATGGAAAACATGAAGGCACTTAGTTCTGCTTTTAGATTTACCTTATTTTGTATTAGAGACTTAGATTTCTAGCCTCCTGGAATAAGGCAAGGTAGGATTTAACCAATGCTTGTTAATGCCGTATCACAAAGTTTTTAAGTGTCCAGTTTTCACCTATAGAGATTCTAATTTAATTATTAACTTGGCTGGGATGTTGGGCATGTGATTATGAAGTGCAGTAGGGGATATGAACCATAGGTTTATGAGATTATAGTATTAGTCTGTTCTGTGGGTCTTGGACTTTTGTTCTTTTTTTTATTGCCTTTCAGTGCCCTTTCTGTCTCAGAAAGGAGGATTATCTTCAGTAGTCTTTGCTGCTATTGTGCAATACTAATATTCTACATCTTTTTTTTTTTAATTTTTAAAAAGTTATTTTTAGATATACATGACAATAGAATGACATTATACGTACATGGAAGTATAACTTATTCTACATCTTAAATAGACAGATGGATTGAATTTTTTAAGGATTAATAGAAATTAGTTGGGCATGGTGGTACATGCCTGTAATTCTAGGTAGTTGGTAGCTTGAGGCAGGAGGACCTCAAGTTAGGGTCTCAAAAAAAAAAAAAAGGTAGGGGGTTTGAGATGTAGCTCAGTGGTTCAGTGCTCACTACTACCTCCGCCCCCACTCTCATACAAATAATAATAAATAAAAAATAATAGAAGTTAATGAGTGCTAAAAACCCAAAATAGTTAAGCTTACCATTATGTACAACTATAATGCATCAATATAAAGTGTGGAAAAATAAAAGTGAAATATTTGTAGCTTCCTAAAGAAGAGGGAAATGTATTTCCTTTCTGTGCTTTGTCTTACAATTCTCTTCTGTAACAATACTGTCAAAATCTTAAGGTCAGTAATATTTGTGTGCGTATTCTGTGTGTTAGACCTTGCGTCAAATACTTTATATGTATTTTCTTAATTTAATCATCACAACTTATTTCTTAAGTGGATATGATTAGTATCCACATGTTGTAGATGAGGAAACAGACATTCTTAAGTAATCTGGCCAAGTGAGCATACAAATCCTTCTCTCTCTCTCCTGGGGATTGAACTTGGGCACTCAACCCCATCTCCAGTCCTATTTGATTGATTGTACCAGGGATTGAATCCAGGGACACTTGACCACTGAGCCACATCCCCAGCCCTATTTTGTATTTTATTTAGAGGGGGGTCTCACTGAGTTGCTTAGCACTTTGCTTTTGCTGAGGCTGACTTTGAACTTCTGAGCCTCATCCTGCCTCAGCCTCCCAAGCCTCTGGGATCACAGGCATGCGCCACCATGCCTGGCCAAATCCTTCACTTTAACTCCAGTTGATGTGCTTAATTCTTGTGACAAGAATTACATGGTCTGATTTTTTTTTTTCTTTTTTTGGGGGGCGGGGTACCAGGTATTGAACTCAAGGGCACTCAACCACTGAGCCACACCCCTAGACCTATTTTTGTATTGTATTTAGAGACAGGATCTTATTGCTAGGATTACAGGCATGTGCCACCATACCTTTTTTTTTTTTAACTGAGCTGTTTGCTTTATTAATCTGTGCTAATTAAAGGATTTCCCTTCAAATAAAGCTAGTTAAAAAAAAAATACTAAAGCAACATAAGAAGACAGCTTTGTATTATTCAGGATTCTTTTCCTTGGCCAAGTGACTGAGGCAGGAGGAATTTCAAGTTGCCAGCCTCAGCAACTGATGAGACCCTGTCTCCAAAAAGGTCTGGGAATGTGGCTCACGGGTAAAGCGCCCTGGGTTCAATCCTCGATACCGAAAAAGAAAAGAAAAGAATTTAATGTTTTTGGTTTTATTATTGAGGAATTCTTTTTAAGTAAGTAAGGTCTACATGGCTTTTAAATTCTTGAAGCTAACTTCATTAATTTCAAGAAATTAAAAAAGTCATACTCATGAATCTATACAAATGAATAAGGCTTAGAAATAATCTATATCTTCATTATAATACAATGAACAAATTTCCTTTGATCTCTTGAATGTTATTTATGTACCAGTTTGACATGTGGACAAAATGAAAGTAGCAGTCAGGCACAGTGGCGCACTCCTGTAATCCCAGTGGCTCGGGAAGCTGAGGCAGGAGGATCACAAATTCAAAGCCAGCCTCGGGCCCGGGGTTGTGGCTCAGTGGTAGAGAGCTTGCCTAGCATTTGTGAGGCACTGGATTTGATCCCCAGATCCCCAGCACCACATAAAAATAAAATAAAGGTATTGTGTCCATCTACAACGCCCCGCCTCCCCCAAAAAAAGAAAAAGAAAAAAAACCAAACCAGCCTCAGCAACATAGCAAGGCCCTCTGCAATTTAGTGAGACTCTGTCTCTAAATAAAATACTGCTGGGGCTGGGGCTCAGTGGTTAATGCCCTAGGTTCAAATCCCTGGTCCTCTCCACCTCCTCCCCCAAAAAATAAAAATGAAAGTAGCTTTTCTTATCAACTGTAAATCCCTTTAGCACACATATAATTGAACGGCCCATAAGATTATCATTGGAAAATTAATTTATGTTTTATACTTTATTTAAATTCTAGTGCAGGCAGATTCTGAATACTCTGATTTTTTTTCCTCTACATTTTTTCATCTGCTTTATAGGACATTTGGCTGCCTTTGTCTCTGTATCTTTTTATCTTGAAGTTGACCTGTTATCTATGCTTGCTATTTATACTTTCTAGTATTTCCCTCCCTTTTTTCCTGCTCTTCCAGTTGTTCCCCCAGCCCCATTTTTTTTTTTTTTTTTTTTTGAGGATCAAACCAAGGGCTTCACACATACAAATAAGCATAAGCTGTCCCGCTGAACTATGCTCCCAGCCCCCTTGTGCTCTTTTATTCATGTTGTTTTTTATTTAATTATGCTGACTCAGTTATATTGTAGTTCTCTTGCTTCTCCTTTCTTGTTCTTCCTACTGCTTCATTTCCTTGTTAGTGCTCTTAGCCTACATAATAGCAAACAGATCTACTTATCAGTAAATAACATTTTGTTGTAACACAGCTAAGTTCATTCGATGGCTGCTTTTATACCATGGGGATAGAGTTGGGTCATTGTAAAGGACTATAGGACTTGCAAAGCCAAAAAAATTTTACAGAAGATTTTGTCAACCCTTGGCCTAGATCATTTTTCCTGCTGCATTGGGGCTATTAGGGCTGATGAAAAGTACATGTTATACTGATATTGGTGAAATAACAAAACATGCTTTTTCCCTAAATTCATGGTTCTAAACTCATAATATTTATAATATATTTATGTACTACATGATGTTTATAATACTATATATGTTTCTTATACTATGTAGTCTCATTGGATCTTTGGATTCCCTATTTATGACTATCCTAATTGGATTTAGTCCAAAGAGTACTTTTTTTTTTTTTTT